GTCTTTAGTTAGAAATCTTTTCCCTCTGAACTTCCAAGACAATTTATCTGTTTCTCTCCAGAATTTACTGCCTTTTTTCTTATACTAGAGGCCTCTGCACTTATATTTTATTCCTTTATTAGACTCTAAGCTCCTTGTGGGCAGGAATANCCTCCTCCATGAAGCCTCTCCAATTTTTGAGCTAGAGTCTTTAGTTAGAAGTCTTGTCCCTCTGAACTTCCAAGACAATTTATCTGTTTCTCTCCTACAGAATTTACTGCCTTTTTTCTTATACTAGAGGCCTCTGTGCTTTTATTTTATTCCTTTATTAGACTGTAAGCTCCTTGTGGGCAGGAATTAGATCTTAATTATACTTGTGTCCTTAAATCCTGGCATAGTGTCAGTAAGAAATTGAATCAGCTGGTGGTCTTGGGGAGGGGAAGCTTGGATTGTATGTGTATGATCCACTTGGGACCATGGATTCATAGAAACTTGAAGCATCTTTGGAAATTATCCAGACTGGCCTCTTTATTTTCCCATTATAAAACTGAGGCCTAGACTTGAATGACTTGCTCATGGTCCTTGCACCTGGAAATCACTGCCTTGGGCTTGGGCTCAGATCCTTGGACTCCAGTCCCAACTGGTTTCTCATCCCAGGTGTCCTGCCCTGATGAATGAGTGAGTGGATACACCCCATTCCCAGAACCACAACTGACTTCAGGAATCAGCTTGCCTCTCACTCACCCACGATGATTTTGAAATCAGAAGGGCTGATCTTGTAAAAGTCCTGGAGGATTGCGTCTTCTGGATCGAGCGAATAGTGGAGGCAGTGAGCCGCGGTCAAAACCCAGTTGGGGCCTGAGAACAGAATTGTGCACACACACTGCCCTGCACTGCCCCACCTGTCTCAAGCTGAAGGCTTCCAGACCACTCTAGGGCACCCTTCTCCACTGCATTTCAAAGCCCCAAGTCAGACACTCATATCCTAATCTGAAGATGAGGAGTGAAATCTGTGGTTTTATCTGCCTATTCCAACCAAAGCCAAGGTTGAGCATCTTAAAAAGGGTTTCAGGGATCCCTTAAACCCATAGGACTGGTGAGCTCCAGACAGCTCAAGGTGGATCCACAAAACACCTTGTGCTCACTGGCCACCCCTCCTCACCATCCCGCTGCCTCTCTTCTGACCCTTTCTTCACCTCTGGTTCCTCTCTGCTCTTCTCTTTCCTGATTTCCCCTCTCTCTTGGCTATCTCGTGCCCTGCCAGTCCCTCTTCCTTTTGTCATCTTTGTTTACTTTTATTTTTTCCTTTATCTCTGTCCAGCTCCCTCTCTCTTACTTTCCAGGACTCTCTCCCTTTCCAGGCCTCTCTCATGTTTTCTGTTTCTCTTTCTGTCCTCTCTATCTTTGTCCTTCTAGCTCTGTCTCGGTCCTTCTCTCCCCTTCTATTCCTTGGTCTTCTCCCTTGTCTGCTCCCCACAGGGCTGCCTTTATCACCTGTACTCACTCCCCATGTCCCTTTGGGAGGCTCCATAGGGTGAGAACATTCATCTTTGTGTTTGTGGGAATGTAAGGATCCATTCCTCACAGAGGGGGGCTGACTCCTGGCTGTCATTTCATATATCCCGGGGTGTCCAGCCTGCAGCCCTGGTCCAGGCCTGGTGCTTCCCTTCAGGGATCCCTCATGGAAAGCTGTCCTCACCTGACTGCCCCCTGGAGGAGGTGAGTCAGTGAGAGGAGAGGCCAGCAGCCTCAGGAGCTATCCAGGCAGATGTGGACCCATCCAGACCTTCTTCCTCTGTGATGGGATCAAATCAGGAATTGGCAGCAGACTCCAGGGTGCTATTACTTTTTCTTAGGATGTCAGAGCTGGAATAGACCTTAGATCATCTGGACCCAATTGTGGCAGGAAGGTCTGTCAACCATTCCTGTCCTGCCCTTGCTCCTACTCCCACCATATTTAATCCATTACAAAATTCTGACTATTCTGTTTCCCAATGCTTTAGAATCTGCCTCATTTCCTTCCCTCATCCCCTGTCCTTATTCTGAAGCTAATGACTTCCCTCCCCACTCCTGCAATAGCCACCTCACTAAACTCCTGGCCTCCTGAGTCACCCTCCTTTTCAATTCACATTGCCTGTGGAGAGAACTTTCCAGAATATGCTTATAAACCTGCATTAGTGTTCAGCATAAAATCTTAATTCCTGAGCAGGGCATTCAAGGTCTTTGTAAGTCTCTCTTCCCTAACTTCTCCAAGGTGAATTTCCTGGTTCTCCCTGATCCTACAGCCCTGGCACATCCTGCCTTTGAGCCATGTGTTGTAATCCATGTTTGAGGGGCTGACTCTCTGACCCTTCCAAGTGCCAGAGACTGACCAGGATTCAGTGGTGTTTGTTGACTAAAGTAGCCATCTAGAACAGGAACACATGTCTTGTGGCTCCAGCTAAGGACTCTTTCTACAACACTGTACTTCTGGGCCCTGCTTCTAGTGTAGACAGTTGTTCTCAATGGAGAAAACTTGATCAGTCTACAGAAAGAGGGTCAGGTGCCTTCGCTTTCATCCTGGCCCCTAACCCTGGGTTCCCCACCCCTTCTACCTTCTCCTTACCTACAAGGGAGCCTCCACAGAAGGGCTCCCCATTCGGATGTGACAGCATGGCAATCCAGGGGGTAGTGCCCTTCTCGGCTGGGCGTCCATTGAGGATCCTGGCTATCAGTTTCCGGGAGAACTTGGGGAGCCCACACACTCCAGCTAGGGGAAGAAGGGAGGAAGGGAGAAGACGTCAAACTCTTGGCTCCATCCTGCCTTTTGCCAGAGCTGCCAGCTCATTGCTCCCTGTTAGGAACATCTGTTATTTTTTGATCTCCCAGCATCCATTGCCCCATTCAGTGACAGCACATCAATTTTCCTCTGGGATCCACTCTTCCCCTATTTCCAGTCCATATACCCTGAGTTGGAATGACTTTATCTCTGATTTTAGGGGTAGGAATGTGACCCAGACCTGACTAATTAACATCTCTCATCCTCTGGTCAGGGCAATTGCTCAGAGATGGGAATGGAACCCTGGCCAGGCCAATGAAAGCCTGAGTTGGGAGTTTTGCCAAGCATATTAGAGAGAAGGCCTTTTTCTGCTGGGGCTGCTAAACTACTGGCTATAAACCCAGTAAGGAAGACAGAAGGAGGAGGAGAGAGGAAGAGGAGAGAGGGAGGGTTAGCTACTTTAAACACCAGCATGGGGCCTGCTCCCTGGCTATTCTTTCAGAGTTGACAATAGACACCGAGATAGAGACTGGGTCCCTGTCCCTGGGGAATGTCCAGCCTTAGTTCCTCTGGACTATCCTGTGGCATTTGCACTGTTAACCACTTTTCATGTGTCTTGACACTTTCCTTCCTTGACTTCTGAAGCACTTCTCTTTCTATGTTTCTAATACCCCCTTTTGTCTCATTCCTCTTCTCTCTGTGCCTTCCATACTGGTATTTCTCTTGTTTGGTCTTTGCCCCTGGCCCCTCCCCACCTCTTTTCCTGTAAACTTAATGGTAGATAATACCATCTCCTCCCCTGCCATCACACCACTATACCCTGATGAATTTCAAATCAGTGTCTCCAATCTGCCCCTCCTCTGAAATATCCCCTTCCATGTTGCCCGCTGGGTGTGCTCATAAATCCCTTAACCACAGCGAAACCAAGCCCTGGTCTCTACCCTTCACCAGCTTTCTCCTCTTTCTTATTCAGATGTCTGTTAATGTCTGCATTTAATTTCTGCATTGGCCTCATCTTTGTTGCCTTCCTTTTCTTCACCCCCATATTCAGTCACTAAACCAGTAAAAAAATCACCAGTGGACTCAGAGAGTAATGTGTCTTTCCCACTCCATATCACAGTGTGCTCTCCACATAACCTCATGACCCCTCAGTGTCTCAATATGCCACAACACAGCCCAAATATATAGGAGAAAGTAAAAATCTGAAATGTAATGGAATACAAGACATGGTAATGCTTGAAACCAGCTACATATAAAGTGTAAAACATAATTTAGAATGGTTTCAGTTCTCAATGGTGTAAAAAGCGTGACATTGTCATTACAATGCAAACTCCAAACAAAGGCACAGCATGAGTGCATTTCAGGACGAGCCCTCACCACCAGGCTAGCTTGTGCTAACCCCATACTCTGCACCTGCACTATTTCTATACTTAGATACCAAGCCCTGCTGAATCCACTACTTTAATGTTTTTAAACTTTCCACCCCCACATCTGTGCTATCATAGTCCTAGGTTAGGTGGGTTTTCATCATCTCCTTCCAGAACGATTGCAGTAGCTTTCCAACCTCTTTTTCTAGGTCAGTTCCTTCCCACAAGCCACTTTCCACACTGTGCTGCCCACTCTCAGATCTGCTGATTCAGAATTTCCCAGGGGAGACCCAGGAATCTGCATTTCTAAAAAGCATCCCAGGTGATCATGATATACCTCAAATTAGAGAGTCACTAGTTACAGGACAGGATGCAAAACGAGGCTTCTAAGACTCTTTCTGCTCTCCCTTAATTCCCACTGCTCCCACTCTATTCACCCACACTTTCCTGCTTGACCTTTTCCCATTCTGCCCATCCCTTCTATCTCACAGTGCAGCCTTTGCAACTCTCTGCAAAGCTCCCCAGCCCCCCTTCAGCTGTGTGGATTTCTTGCTCCTTTTAAGTTCCTTTAATACGACTATCTCCACTCCTCTTACGACACTTAACTCCTTTTGCCAGTGTGGCCCTAGGTGCACAGGACCTTGCCTTGCATGCTAGTTTGAATTCTGTGAAGTCAAGGACTTAAATAGCAGACCATGCAATGAAGAAATGCACAGCCTCTGAGAGGGCACATGTCAATAACCAACCCTATTCCTCATTACCTTTTCTTGGATGATGTCTAGGTGACAAATATTGTACTTTTTCTGTAATGGGAAAGGTTTTGGCTTTATGAGGGGAAATTTTGTTTTAAAGAGTCAAAACAAATATCAGCAATAATCAAACCCCCGAATGAAGGCTGTTGATTATCCACAGAGGTTTTATTTCCACTTTAGACCCCTGACAGGAGAAACAGAGTGCAGAGGCACTTTACAGAGTAGTGAGTTTGTGATATAAAATATACAATATATAGCATCCTCTATATGCAGCATTCACAGACACAGGAGTGTGGTTTCATGAATCCATTAGAAAAGTGGGCACTTCCCAATTGTTCTCTTGGAATCCCTCTCAGGGTCTTCTCTGACTGCCTGTCTCTGGTGGGAAATCCCAGGAAGACCATCAGCCCTGTGAGGGCCAGGAAAAGACTGCTGGTGATCAGAAGCACTGAGTGCTGGAGCTAGAAGGACCCTAAAGGAGATCTAACTCCTTCCTTTTACAGATGGGAACACAGGCCCAAAAAGGGAAAGTGATTTGTCAAAGGTTATACAGTCAGGGGGCAGAGCTGGGGCTGGAGCCCAGGACTCTTGGCTCTCTGTCTCTTCTCACTGCCTTTCACGGGCAAGTCTGCTGCCTTTTACTCTGGCTCCTGGAAGCTGGAGGAGTGTTTCCCTCTGAACATTCACAATGGGTGGGTTTTCTGAAGAACTCAGACCTTGGGCATGTTGGGCAGCCTGGTGGGAAGAGATCACTCCTAATGTCTTTAGCCCACCCTTCCATTTTCCTTCTCAGAAGCACAGCGGGCCATGGCCTGGGCATTCTCTTTTTCCAAGCAATCCAGAAGAGTCTCTATGCCTGGGGCTGGGGCTCAGGTACTCAGGTAGCCTTTTCAGATGATACATTCCAAAGCTAGAAAGTTCCTTCATGCTTGTCTGGAGCATCCCATGTTGTTAGCTGGTATTAGAGAGTGACATGTGGTCCCAAATAACATGTTCTGGGTTGACAATAGGAATCTAACAGGGTTGGGGAGCCTTTCACTGCTATTCTCCTCCCCCAGTCACACAAACATTCCCAGCTTTCTCTTTGTCCCTTGAAATCCCTTTAACAGAACCTAAAGGCTAAGGCTTGGACTGCAAGAAGCTTTTGGAGAGAAACCTCAGGGATAAGAGGATTTCACTAGGAGAGGGGGGCCTCAGGGTGTGGCCCCCATCTCCCCAAACCTGAATGGTTTTCTCCTAGAGGACAAACTAGACTTGCCTGTGCCCAGAGGACAGAGCTGGGAAAATATATGGACTCGGAGTTCAGCTCAATGCAAGGAAACATTTTCTAACAATCAGGCCCAGTTATACCAACAGTGGATTTGGTAAGTGAATAGAAATGAATAAGGTCCCTGGGGTAAAGTGGTACTGGGGAGGAATGCTAGGACTGGCCCAGACATCCAGCTCCCTTGTATTGCTGAAGAGAGTGAAGCTGGGGAGGGGAAAGAACTTGCCCAGGGCCATGGACCCAGGTCTCTTGTGTAGAGACTTTCCCCTGTACCACTCTGCTGCCTCTCAGGGTCCTGGGCCTGTCTCAGGAGGATGGGAGCAGCATGTTCCATTCCATCTGGTCTGGTGAGTAACGTGGAGTGTGCTGTCGGAAGTGCAGGGTCAGCCTCACTTGGGCTGAGGCAGGGTGGCGGGCCCTGAGGAGGTCAGTCAGCTCACCGCTCCACCTGGAGCTCCCCCAGACCTTGTGGAGAGCCCATCTGCTCCCACACCCAGTCCACGTAGTTGGAGACCTTTGTGTAGACCCCATAGACTTGCTTGCTGCCACATTCTTCAGGGCCTCCCCAGGACACCAGGCCTTGGGCCACCCAGGTTTGGCTCAAATCATCAAGGATGACAAATGCCCCGCCGCTATCTCCAAGGCATGTGTCCTTGCCGCCTTCATAGTAGCCGGCACAGAACATGTTCTCTGTGACGCTGTAGTTGCCCAAGCGGGACTCGTAGCTGGTCTTGCACTCAGCGTGTGGTACCACAGGTAACTTGACATACTGCAGGACATCTGACAAGGTCCGTGTACCACTGCTGATGATTTCATCCACTGTCACATTAGGATTGGAGATGCCCCAGCCTGCCACCAGGCCTAGCATGTGGGGTGCTGGGCCTTCGGGTTCTGGCTTTGGCAGGCAGATGGGCATGACATGGGGTCCCAGGGGCACGGGTTCCTGCAGCTGTACCAGAGCTATGTCGTGGTTGTAATTCTGGATGTTGAAGTCTGGGTGGAGCACCACTTGGGCAGCTGAGCTGTTGACAGCCCCAGATTTGTCCCGCATGTCATGGAGGCCTAGGTAGACAGTGATGTGCTCCTTGGAGACTGGTGTCACTGTGTTGTCTCTGCGCTGGGAGCGCAGCACGTGGGCTGCTGTGAGGATCCAAGACTCAGAAAGCAGAGCCCCACTCCCGAACCACTTGTCATTTGGCACCCTTGAGGTGTCCTCCACCACTATCAGGGCCTGCCATGGGAAGAGGCCGGGCTCCGCATTCCGGCCCCCGATGATCCGCTTGACCAGGTTTGGCAGGGAACGGGAGGGCTGACCACACACTGTAAGGAGAAGGGGGGAGTGGTCAGGTCAGCCATGTGAAAAGAGGCACTAAGAGAAATTCACATCTCACCCACTGTAGATTACGCCACCACAGGACCCCACTCTACATCATGGGGCCACACTAACCTGGGAGAGCCCCATGAGGGGTCATGTTTGGCTTAAGTCTTTCTAGTCTCACTGAGCTGTAGTCTGGACCTTCTATAGCTAGGACCAGACCATTTCACACATGGACCGTTACCATCTTGAACCACATCTAGCCAGGATCACTTTTGGCCTAGACCATCTTGAACCAGGCCTGTCTATAACAGTGATCGCCTCTCCATTTTTCTTTTTCCTTCTCTAGAAAGACATCTCATATTGCAGAAGTAGTCCATGTTGTGGGCACTTAGAAAACTTCTGAAAACAGTAGGTTATGGGCTTTGAGAGATGAAAAAAAAAACTAAAAGACTGTCTAGTAGGTCACAGAAAACACTGGACTGGGAGCCAAGACACCTGAAAACTTGACCTGGCTTTTCTCTCCTATGTCCTGTGTGACTTTGGGTGAGTAAATTGACCTCTGTGGATTTTAATTTTTGATCTGCTAAATGAGTCAGTTGACCAAGATTATCTCCAAGGATCTTTCAAATCCCAAATTCCTTTAATTTCTATTTCATTTGCTCTGGTCACCCCCATTTTATGGTGAGTAAAACTCTCCAGAGGTTAAGTGACTAGCCCAAGGTCACATGGCTATTAAGATAAGTAGCCGGGGTTTAACTAGATTCTCAGATGAATATCTTGTCCTAAAACCCACAATGCCTCATTACATGTAAAGATTATGTGATGGACCCTCTAATCTTTTCTACTCTAGCATAAAGTACTACCCCAGGGCATCTAAGGATAGGGAAAGGTGGCATAATCTACGAGCAATGATGCATGGGCCTTGTTCTGAGCCACCCATCATTGCACCCAGGAACCCTGTATACCTTCAGGGGAAGAAGAAAGGTCTGCTCAAACTTCGTTCCACTGAGTTGCACCCTGAGCATGCACATGCACCACCAGCCTCCTGCAGCCAAACACCTTTGGCTCATGAGCAGAGAGTCTTCAGTACCAGGCCTCACTGGCTAAGAACAAGTTCACATGGGCACTTCCCAGCATGTTTCCTAGGCCTGGGAGGTAAGTCTGGTAGGAGCTTGGGCCTCCTCTTGGTTGCAAATGGCCAGGCTATACTCCTTGGCCCTGGAAACTATCAACAATCCTTTAAAGACCAAAGAGCATTTGAGTGTTCTTGGCAACTTTAGGAAGCCAGGCTTTCAGAAACCTAATGCTTTTCAGATGCTCTTCTTCCTGATGCCAAATGTTTTTTACATGATCCTGAGTTACCCTGTTGTTCACCCCAGCCAGATGTAAGCTGGCCTTTTGCTAACTCTGTGCATTTCACAGTTGAAGGCCAGACTCCCAATTACAAGCAGCAGCCTACAAGGTGACAGCTCAAGACAGGTCTGTGATGAGCCCTGTACAATGACTCATCTAGTGCCAAAAGGCCCTCATCTGGTAAAAGACATGCTTGTGGCTTAGTGCATGATTACAACAAAGCCACTGCTGAATGGTGCCCTTTTCCAACCAAGGTGCCAATGGCATAACCCAAGTCACAGAATGTCAGAGTAGGGGAAGCTTGGAGAACAGCTAATTTACAGATGGAGAAACCAAGGTTCAGAGAAGGCAAGTGACATAGTCAAAGTCATTAGAGGCAGAGCCAGAAGTAGAGCCCATTTCTTGTGACTCTACTTCCATTTTCTCCACACAAAAAACTCTTTTTCTTCTTGATATGCTCATGTACTTTTGAGAGGCTGAATAATGCAACAAACCTTTGAGAAGTTTCATGAAAATGGGGCCATTCTTTTTGGCTGACACCATTCTATATCTAGTCTTTCTAGGGAGAAAGGAATCTTCTTGAAATACTATAGCTTCAGCTGTGCTGAAGCCAGATTTGACCTCTAGAAGACTGGAGGTACTGAGGGAGCACTTTTAAAACAAAAATGTGGTATTCTAAACTTTTGGGTTAATGAAGATGGCATAAAATATAATCAGAATCAAGAATGACTCAGCATCTCTTGTGTTGACATCAAAAGTCTTGGGTTCACCTTCCAGCTCTGCCCCTAACTTTCTGTGGGTAGCTTTGTATAAATCATATCTCACTGATTCTTAGTTTTCTCATGTGTAAAATAAGGGGAAAATAATATTTGCTTAGCAGCTTTCTTGGAAAGGTGGATATTATAATATTTGATGAAATGGTTTTCTCCATTCTAGCTTGCTTCTGGGTCCAATCTCTATGTTTTAGGAGGAGAGAATTTATAAATTTCTGGCCTAGTCCAGTGATATACCATGGTTCTGTTCAACACCAAGTGTTAAAATAATGTTATGACTCATTGTATCCAAGATGTTTTGTATAAGTATAGAGGACGATGCCCATTAAAAGTTATAGAATGTCATGGATCACATGGTTCTGCTCTGTCACTTCTGAGGTATGGAACCCTAAGCACCAAGGAGGTGATATTACTTACCAAAGATCACAATTAGGAAATGACAGCACGAGGACTGGGACCCAGGCCCCTGATTCCCAGCTCAGTGCCTCTTCCCCTTCCAGAGGTTGCAACATGGCTGCCCAGGATGGAATCCACCTGCAGTGCTGTTTTCTTTGACCCCCATGGTATTTTAGCAAAATACAGATTTGACCCTCCAGTTTGTCACAGCTCCACCATTCCCCATTTTCTCTGAGACTCTACCAACTTCGTAAAGCCTTGGCTGTCTTTCTGGCTAAGCCTAAACGAGACGATGGGGATTAGTAGAGTGTGGGTGGATTGACCTTTTCCTTGTTTTACTCTCTCAAGAATTCTTTCTTAAGCATAAAGCCCCCCTAAGTGAAGTCTTTCTAACCATTCCTCAGCCCTCCACTCCCAGACAACCACAGGCAGTGACTTCCTCCTCCTTGGGGTCTCATAGTTCCTGTGATGGCCAAAACTGATTCCCAAATGCTGATACTTTCTCCGGTTCTTAAGGTTAATGGTAGATGGCTCCATAGCTTTTCCATTTTAATGTTCAATCTAACATTTAGGAGTCTACTGAGTGATATTGAGGGTTACTAAAATGTAGCAGTCAAATAATAACACTATCTCAGTCTACCTAACACTTTGACTCAGTAAAATACAAATGCCACCCACCACTTCACCATACTGTGAAACTCCTACTGCTGGAGCAAATGAGCAGACAGAATCAGTACTGCTCCTCAGTGCTGTCTTGAATGGTTTTGTCTTTCAATTACTGCTATTCTTGCTTTCTTTTTAAAAGCATAAATTTCTGCCTTCTGAATATTAAAAATAATTTTGTGGGTTATTTGTTTAACCCTACAGTGTGCATTTAGGGCTATAATTTTCTAATAAGTCTGTTTCAATATATACATATATGAACCATGGTTGCAATGCAGATAATCCATATTTTTAATGCTAACGCAACTATCCACAGAATATCTCTTAAATCCATATGCACAGTGACACTCCTTGTTACTGCAAGTCTTTTTTCAATTTAAATTGGTTTAGTAGGTGAGCCATGGGGAGGCAGCAGTCAGTAAGATGTGAACATATTGATTTTTGAAAGAAGTTACTCTGATGTTGTTTGTTTCCTCCACAGCACAGTGAGGACTTAAAGGTGGGGTGCCTACTTTCTTGATTTTTCTGATACACACAAACTGTGTAGGATAAAAAACCTGGTGCAAAGGTTGCTGAACTGCAGAGAGAGGAGGCAGAAAGGCTCCTGGCCTGATAGAACAGGTGAGTATAGAGGCTAGTTTGTTTGAACAGGTGTGGGGCTGGGCTTCTCTGAGTTTTGAACATCTGAAGGTATCTTAAAAAACAATCAAAGCACCATGCCTTCAACTCCCCCCTCTATTAACAGCTAGAGCACCTGTGGCCCTATGGCCTTGAATAGGAGACTTTGAGGCAGAGGACTTGAGAATGAGGTACCTGGCAGGCAGGTGGTCTGGTTTTCCCCCAGCACTTCATTCATCCAGACTCCTTGGGCGGAACAGGTATATATACCTGAGAGAGTGAGGAAAGATTGAAGAAAAGGGAGAAAATGGTTGATTTATAGCACATGGAAAATGGATCTGGGTTCTTAATTCCTCTATTGTGGATCATTGCAAATCTTTCAAATTGTCTTGCTGATGCCTTCTCCTATGAGCCAGTCCTCTCTGCAACCTAAAGGCTCTTTCTAAAATGAGAATCTGACCATGTTCCTCCTCTGCTCAGTATCACCAATAGCTCCTCATTGCCCTCAAAAACAAACACCACATGCTTCAGCATGGTGTCCAAGGCTCTGTGCAACCTTACTCTTACCTGTCCGGGGGCTGCTCCCTCTCTGTCCAGCCCCACCCAGCCCCTGGCAGGCACTTGTCATTAGTCATGCGGGCCTTGGTTCACATAGGGGCTCTGTGGCACAGTTGCCCTTCTCTTCCTTTTCCACTTAACAAACTCTTTAATGAACCACACTCATGTCTACCATCTCATCTGGGTCTTACAACAGCTCTGTGAGCTACATCACTGGTCCCTTTTTTAAGTGAGAACTTAGAGGCTTTGAGAAATTAGGAGAATTTTCTTAGTGCTAGTCTGAGGCAGAGGCAGAACTGATCAGCTTCATCTCCCTGAGTGTTCCTTCTCTGTGGGAGGCTGTGAGTGTGGATATGTGGATTATCATGTGACCTAGCTCTTGGGGTGCAGGCCTGAGCCAGGGAGGGGCAAGACATGTCTCCAAGTATATTTCTTCCCCATTCCTACCAAACTGTGGCCAACTGACTGGCTTTTTCAGCCCTCAACCTAACCCTGAGACACAGAGGGTGTGAGGTGGGATGGGGCTGGTTTAGCTTGCAGGGCTCACCTGAGATATTGTGGTACATCTTGTAGTAGGGTTGCTGGCACGAGTATCTGATCTCAGATTTGTATGTGGTCAGGTTGTTCCTTGTGGAGAAGGTAACCAACCCATGTTCCAGCTCTGCCGGGGCTCCACAGTCTGCAACTGAGAGAGAAGAGAGTGATATCCCTCAATTACCCTTTGCTCTTCTTCTTGGGGCCATCTGGCAGGTCTGTCTCATATAGAAGTGTGGGTTGTGCACTGCACACAACTTCAGTAAGTCATATGATAGTCTATGACAATGATGCCCCAAGGGACTGTGGAGGTCATGAACTGTGCAATCACCAGTGGCTTTGCTTTGAGGTCTCTCCCACCTACTGTGTGGTCAACTCACCTAGCCTGATATCAACTTCAGGGAAAGGACAGGTTTGCTGAGATTTAAGCAGACCCTTTTCTTCCCCACCACGGTCCTTTCCTTGACATCTAGATCTATTGTGCAATCCTCTTTGCTTCTTCCGCCCAAGCTAGAAGCCTGTGGCTCAGCAAGAAATTCTGGCTGACAAGAACCAAAGAATATTCAGTTCTTCCAGACCCAACCACATGCTGAGTAAGAGACATTAGTGTGCTCACATTGGAACTTGGCAAAAAAAAAAAAAAAAGGAAAGCAGGAAGAAATCCAACATAGCCCCACCCTGCTGGCTCTCTGTAGAAACAGAAGTCAGGAGGTGGGGTCAGGGTGGACCTACTTATTTTCTCCAGTCATTGATGATTGGAGATTGGGGCTGGCTGTAGGATAAGACCAAAGATGCCTGTTCCTCAGAGGTGGTCTTAGGGGAGATTGCAAGTCCATCCAGGTCTCAGGAAAGTTTCCAGAACTGGTAGAGTCCATTACAAGTTTGCCAGGAGCCAGGTCAGAGGCTGAGGACTCAAATTGGCAGTGTCTCTTCATCGGTCTCCATTAGCGGGTGGTGTTCATTTCTAAGGAAATCCTAATCTTAGGCCTAACAGCCCCTGCCAGGGTTGAACCATAGAGGAATCACAGAACTTCACAGTTGCAAAAGACTGTTAAGGCAGGTGACCTAGAATGTCTTCTTTACTTTACAGATGAGCTCAGGGAGGAGACTTGACTGGTCTAAGGTCACACAGCAAGTTATGGTCAGGGAACTAGACCTGATCTTAAATTGAGAGTTTTTAAAAAATAAACCAGACTGACAGTTTTTAAGGATCTGTTTTCTAGTTGAAACTACCCATAATCAGTATTAGCTGGGTAATGGTGGACATTAGTTGTCCATCTTTGATAATTTTAGAGGACTGCATTCCAAGGCCTTGGGAGAACTTCCAATTCCTCTCATTCTGAATTTGACCCGCTCACGTTGGGAAACAGAGAGGGGGACATTTACACCTGAGATGCTACTTAGGTATTGTGACTTTTAACTTTAGGGCTCCAAATTAATCTGTTTGATTGAACAAAGAGTTGTTAAATGAAACTACATCTAACTCCAAGGCTTTCCAGGATGGAGCAGAGGGCTAAGGATGGGAATAAATGTAGGTCCCTCCTACCTGCTAGGATGGCAAAAGCCAGGAGAACTGTTTAGTGTTTTGTCCTGACCTCCAACCCACCTGGACAAATTGTTCCCATTTGTTTTGACCACTCAGAGTAGATACACTTCTACTCTGCAAGAAAGTATGTGGATGTCAGTACTAGGACAAGAGGTAATCATATTTATTATTGAAAGCTATCAACAGTTTTAAATGTATTATCCTGCTGAGTCTCAAAGCAGATTTTTCTTCCTTTTTTAGGAAATACCATTGATTGGTGCCTGGATCTTGGTATGACTCTTGTCTCCCTTAACTTCAGTCCAGCAGTTCATTTTGCCTAGGGTAGCCTCAAGGATACCTAGTTCCAGGTGGAGGAATTCCAGGATTGGTCTTAGACATGGTGAGATGGTCAGGCTATGTGACATTGCCAGCACTGGTGAGAAATTTTCTGGGTAGAGGGCCTGCTTTCACATCACTCCAGAGAACTAGCCACTGCTAAAGCTGGTCTTACAGCCATATAGGGGAGGTGATACATAGTGGAAAATGGAGGCTACTTCAGCTTTAGTAGTGAGCAGGGGAGGGGTGTGCCTTCTCCCCAAGCTATGGAGGCAAGCAAAGAGCCATGTCTCTATGTGGCCTGGAGACAACTTCCCTTTTTGAGAGGCCCTGAGCAGCTCTGCCTGGCACCATCAAAGACGTTGTATTCAGACCCTGCCTCCTTAGCTAGTCTGTCTTCTTTGGTTTAGGAAGAGCTTCATCCATTTCTCTAATGTTTCCTCTGGCTACTTCCACACTCTGGAATCAAAGTGCCCTTCTCTTTCCCATTCCCTACTCCTCCTTTTCTTCTTATTCTCTGGGATGGGATGTACCACCCCATGTCTTGTCTCCATTGTCACCTTCTGCTGCCACTTATTTTCTTTCAGGCACATTTTTCTTGACATGCTCTCTTTAGCATACTTTTCCTTAATTTTGGGGCTTCTTAGAGATCTCACACTTGGCTCAACCCAAGGATGACCTCCCCCCCCCCATCATCCTTCACCCAGGATTATTTATGCTCCAGCATCGAAGACCCCTTCCTGTGCCTCTCTCTCACCTGCTGCTTTCCCCACATGGGAAATCCTGTGTCCATGCTCTGGCTTCCCTTGAAGCCTTAAACACTGCTTTTTCTTGAAAGCCTGTTCTCATTCTTCTAACTAGGGAGGTCTATTAACCTCTCTCATCTTATGTTGCCTGGTATTACAATTATTTGGGTTCATTTCAAGCCTTCTGCCTAAATTATAATTCTCTCTATCACACTGAGTACAATATCTATTATACTTTGTGGGCTTAAAAATATTAATTCAATTGACACTTGTACTTAATGACCATCTCATGTCCTGTCTGAGGGGCACCCCTGCCCTAGGCTGGCACTGCAGTCTCCTGACTGCTCTTTGTCCACCCTTGCAGGATTCTGCCCTCCTCCAGAGACCATTTCATCACCAAATTGATGGGTAGTCACAATGCAGTGCAAGGCTTCTCCGATATGTGTGTCCAGATTTTGTTCAGGCTGAAGCATAGATTTTTACCATGCTTGCTGCCACTCTATAGCCCTTATCACTACTTATGACCAGTGATGCCCCAGGACACCCAAGCTGAGGACCGCTGCTTTCAATGTGATACCTATCTTTTGAAAAACTTTAATTAGTGAATTTTCAGAAATTCAAAACATGTAAGCCCTAGAAGAAAGAACCCCTGATGATGGGATCTCAGCCTTGTGTGAGGTATGGATGGAAAGGAAACTTTTAGGCATGAGGATATATTTAGACTCCCTAAATATCCAGGCTATATGAGGTATTCCTAGTTTCACCTACTCATGTTAAGAAAGTAGCAACAGGTAAGAATATTAAAGCCATAAAGTCACAGGCATTCTGGCCCATTTAAACTTGGAGAGTGGAGTGGATTGGAAACCAGGGCCCACTTTGACCTGGTCGACCTAAGGTCATGTGATTGTATATTATTAAATCTTGCGTCTCTAGGGCCAAAATCATTTTTCTTTTGAGAAGAATACAGTCCACTTAGAGGTGCTAAAATAAATAAGTAAATAAATAAATAAATAAGTCTCCCATCTTTTTTTTTTTATTATTTTCTAAAGTAATGTTTGAATAATGGGCGAATCCTCAAAAGGAGAATTGTTCTCATACATGCAGGAGTCTCAACTGCTTGAGACTGTGCTTCCTTGTTTAGTGTCCTTTCTGATCCACAATGAAATGGGGAATGGAGTGTTGATGGGGTGAGGAGGGGCAGAGTAGCTCTGGGGCCCTGGGGTCTTGTGAGTGATCCATTCCTGGGTGTCTGCAAAGTGTGGGGTCCCGTCATTCACTCAGTCACTTGCTCTGACTGGAGCTGGCTTTCCACATCCTTTTCGGTTTCTGTCACCATGGTGAAGATCAGAGAGGGATCAGTGGGTCCAGAGAAAGGAAGCAGAGAGAGGAAGGGAGAGAGAGGGAAGAGAAAGAGAAAAATTAGCAAGCTAAGCAGAAGCAGTTTATGCAGGAAATGCAGAAATTGCTCCACCAGAATTGATTAAGAACGCACAGTTTAGGCACAGCCAGGGTGAAGGACAGTTTGGGATTGTGAAATTTGTACCATTTAGAGAATTGGCACAGTCATAAATGCAGGCTCGTGAGGATTATAACATTCTGCCCTGGAGCAAGCTTTGTGTTCATCTGACCCAGACCCTCATTTGACAGATGGCATTCGGAGTGGAGCAGAACTTGTCCGGGGTCACTACAGCAAGGTGGTGGCAGGGCCAGGACGACATAATTTCTACTTCCTGTTCTGGTGCAGGTTTTCTCACAGTGCACACACTTCCTGTAGGTTCCCACCCCCTCGCCCCACAAGATCTGGGGACTCTCAACTTTTCAGTCTTGTTCATCTTTGCATCTCACTCCCCTAGGACTTGGCACATACCCAGGACAGAGAGATGCCTGATAAATACCTACTCAGGGATGAGCGGAGATGCTGGGTGTGTTTAAATAAGGATTCTAATAATGCCCATCCAGCCTGTGCTGGGAGATCCAGGTCATATTAGGGAGAAAAACATTCCTCTTTTCTGTGGCACAAAATGACAGGCATTCTTTTGTATACTGACAAAAGTCACATAAAAGAGTAGCATCGGATATAATAGTGCCTAATTCTATTAACACTTCTGTTACAATAAAAAGTGTGTGCATTTCATCAGGGAATAACACTATTATCAAAACCTCCTGCTTTCCAAAAGCTTGAATGAGAGAAACAAAACCTCTTCCTAGTGAGGGAGTTGGGTGGGGGGAGAAACAAGCTTGTGTTGAGCTTTTATTTACTCCCGGTGCTCCTCCGCAGGCACGCTATATACATTAACACAGTCCCCAGGGCAATCAAGAATGTAGGAAACTGAGGCCAAAGGGGTCTGAGTAAATTGCTTAGGGACCTTCATCTGTTTGAATCTGGATTTGAATCTAGAACTTTCCAATTCCAAAGCCACATTCTGTCCTCTGTATCCCACACCCTCCTTTAGCTCCTCCTTCCAAACCCCCCATCGCTTGGGTGGAACTCAGCCACAGCCCTACACATATTAGCCAAATGCGGAGGAGGTGGCTAATGTTTCTGCTGGCATTTGAGTTCCTCCAGGTCTGGACCTTGTCTTTTCCATCTGAGTTCCCTATAAACCTCTGCACAGGCATCCAGTAAATGTCGGTTGAAGCTTTTTGTTGAAGTCATGACATGTCCCCCTCCCTTTTCCCATGCTGGGCTCTGTCTCCAGCCACATCTTCATATAAAAAAGGAAAATTTAAAACAAGCATCCTCTGCTCCAAAGATCTGCCTGGGATTTGCCTCAAGGGCTTCCCACCCTGACAGAGTCCCCTTGGGGCAGTGGGAGTGGACCTCAGACCAATGGATCTGAGCCTTTTAGGATCTGGTGGGGCAAGGACATCACTCCAAAGCTTACATGAAGTCATGAATTAAGGATGGGTGAGACCAATCCTGATTCTTGACTTCTGACCTTTCCATCCTAAAGCAAACACTCCTTTCCTCCCTCCCTCATTTCTTTTTGTTCCTTTTCTGTCACTCTAGATGAGTTTCCTAAAGTTGTGGTCCTCACAAGTCTTGCACTGAAATCACCTGGATGGGGGGAGAGGAGGTAGTGACTGACAATTTGTATTTTTACAAAGCTCACTAGGTGATTTAGATGGACTACATTATGTTAGAACCACCAGGATATATTCTAGAATATTAAAGCTAGTCCAAACTCTTTATTTTATAGTTAAGGAGAAGGATCCTGTCCATGGTCACAGGGTTGGTTAGGAGCTGAGACAAGGCAAGAACTCGGTCCCCAAACTGTGTCCCCCACTTCACACACGTCCACTGAGCTGACCCCGCAACCCTAAAGTATAAGCTATCCCAGAAGACTTAGTGGATATGGCTGACGGCCACATCAAGACTGGCAAGGTCACTTGGCTCTGGGCAATGAGGCCAAAATAGTTTCCTGAATTAGCTGTTGCCAGAGCTGGTTTCAAACCTGGAGACATGTTATTCCTTTAGCAAGTTTGGCAATCTGTTTGCAGGCAGAGGTAAAATTAGTATTTAGAAAGTAAACTGGGACCCACAAAAGTTTCTTTTGGAATCCTAATGTCTTATTACTGAAAGAAACATTAATGGCCTTTTTTTTGTCCAACCTTCATGTGTCTGCTGACTTCTTGCCTCTTTTCTCTTAAAGTGCGCCTACCAAGCTGTTCCCATTGTGTGGGTCTCTGCTCGAATCCCACCAGTGCTGGGGAGCTCATGGTCTTTATAATCAACCGATTTTGTTTTCTTACTTTTACAGGTGGGGATCTCATTACTCCATGTGCCATCCTTCCGACACTCGATCTGGAATGTGTCCATCTCCACATTACCCTAGGAAGAAGCATGAAGGAGATGTGGGGAGAGAGAAGAGAGGTGGGGTTGGTGGTGGTTTTCCAGTATAAACAGCTCAAACAACAAACCTGGGTGTCCTAACATGAGATTTTCCAACCATAGACCTCCAAGGGCAAGCTTGAAGATATGGGAAAGATAGATGCTGAGTTCATATTCTCCATTCTTTCCCCTGGCTGGGCGTGGGAAGGGGTTTGGGCAACTGTGTCTGAAGGGAAACCTATACCCTTGACTCCTTTTTCAAAGCAGTGGCTCTCAAACCTGAGCGAGCATCAGCATCCATGAGGGCTTTTGCACAGATTCCTGGGCCCTGTCCCTAGAGTTCCTGATTCAGTGGGTCTGGCCTGGGAACCAAGCCTTTGCCTTTATAACGAGTGAGATGCTGCTGCACTGGGGACCCCACTTCGAGAACCATTCCTTGAGAGCAGTGGTCCTCTAGCTTGGCTCACATCAGACTCACCTGGGCAACATAACAGAAAAACCAATCACTGGGCACCACCCCAGAGATTCTGCTGTCATTAAGTCAGACAGGCCCCGGAGGTGATTTCATTTTTTTAAGTTAAGCAGGTGATTCCTAGGAGAACCACTGTTTCTGAGGGTGGGAGAGTGAGCCGTACCGGTCTGCCACTTCTACAATCTCTGCTTTGCGTCCCTGTTTCCTCCAGTAAGACTCAAATTTGTTAAGGTTGTTTGTCCTGATTGTAGGACTGAGTAGATCCATATTTTTTTGAAATTCGAATCAGCCCATGCTCTGGTAAAAGACTTTTGTGCCATTTCCAGAAGTGGGACACATGCTTTGAATTTTCAGAAGACTGGAATTTCTGGAGTGTGTTGGAGGATTATGGGGAAGCTAGAAAATACTCTGGTGGGACCATCACTAGCTCTGGAAGCCCGTCTGTTCTGGGAGGCTCTGGAGAATTTCTCTGGCTTGGTGGCTCCCGCTCCCCAGGTAGGACCCTGTACCTTCAGCACTTTGTAGCCTGTGTCACAGCTGATGAGCACCTGGTCTTTGAAGAAATACTTGGCTTGCAAGGGCTCGATTTTCCCGTGGACAGGAGGCTTTAGCTCTGGGCACTCCTCCCCTGGTGGGGAGCAATGGGAGAACAGCAGGTGAGAAAACAAGGAAAAGTCTGGCAGAGAGAGGCCAGTCTGTAGACTGCCAGGAGGGATGGAGGTGCAGAAAATACAGAACTGGGGACTAGGGGCCTGGACCTAATAAGCCCTGAGGAAGACTTACTGGAACCTTGAGCAGATCACTTTTCAACTTGGACCTCTATTTCCTCTTTTGTAAAATGAGGTGATTGACCAGATGATTTAATCAGAACTCAAGATTGGATAGCATATTAAATGTCATTGAGTGCTTTGATGCTTTTTTTTCTTTTTAATAACATCTTCCATGGTAGACATCAAACATCTACTTGTATTCCTACAGTGACAGGGGGCTCAAAACCTCCCAAACTTGGACCTTTCATACTGGACTCATCTGATTAAAGGAACAGTAGTTTCCTATTCAACTGTAATTTATACCTTTGTTTTTGCCATCAGGTATATTCGCCCTCTTGGGGAACTCAGGATGACTCCAATTGCTCTTTCTTCCCAAAACCATGTCTCAAAGTGTTGGCTGTGATCATATGCTCTGAGCCCTCTCTTCAAAAGGCTAAAGCAGACAGGATTCCTAGGCCTGGGGCTATCCCTGACATTTTTTTCCTGGACAAAATCTCTTTTGTTAATATTTTTTTCACTTTTCTCCCCAGAGCTGGGCACTGAATTTGATAGTGCAGGCCAGGCCAGGCCAGGATATTGGAATCTGAACTGGATTAGTCATGCCCAGCTGTGGTCTTGTCCACCCTCTTCTTTTTCAAGTTATTGCATATCCCTTGGGTCAAATGGCTCTGTCAGTGTTTGGACCGGGACTGGCTGACTTGGGGTTTTGGGGAATGAAACCTGTGGGCTTTGCCAGTCTGGGGAAAACACATGGAGGCAAACTGTCATAATGGAATATTTTGAGTTACAGGCCCACACCCAAATTCTTGCCTTAGACTAGGAGAAGGCTGAAGCTGGAAGGGTCTTTTCCAAGTTCAAGGAATCACAGCGGGAGGGGTTGTGGTTCAAAAACCAAGTTTTGTTTTTGTAATCTCCCCATGTGATTCTGAAGTTCAGCAAGTTCAAACACACCATCATTGCTGCCCTTCACCCCATTTTATAGATGAGAAACTGAATCAGAAGAGAGAATGTGCCTTAGTATATACTCCGTGGCAGAACTGGGAGTCCTGCCACAGTCCCAGAGGAGTCCCAGACCTGTGCCTTCTCATCCCTCAGCCACCGCTCGTGAGGGCTGACCATGATGACCAAGTTACCCGTCGCACTGTAGGAGAGCTTCCAGCCCCGGTTCTCGCCTGAGTTGTCACTGCGGAATCGGATTTGGACGTTGTGAGTCTGGGTATTGATAGGTTCTGGGGCTTTCTCTCCACAGAAGCGTCCCAAAACCTTTGGACCGGCTTTAATCTGTGAGGGGCAAGACGAAGAAAAAGGGGGTCACTTCAGAGCAGCAGTGGGTGCTGCAGTGACCACCTCTACACTGCACCTGGGGTTTTCTGGAAGCCTTCGTATGAACCATAATATTCACTTACATTTCTAGTGGACACTGCCATTCATTAGATAGTTCCATCTCCACTCCCGAATTTATAATCTACAATGGCCCTGACAGTGGACAAAGCAACTAATAATCCTCTGCTCAAAGATGAACATATTATGACTCAGAGAGGGGCAGACCTTGTCCACGTGCACAGGATAGAAAAGGCCTCTGTTCTCAAAGAACTTTCAGTCTTGTTGGGATATCGAACAATAAATATATGCTATACATTTATGATTTATGCAGTAAAATCTATGTGACCTATATAATTCACCATTAATATGATCTATAATAACTCTAAATAGGTGGCCAGGGAAGGTCTCTTTGAGGAGGTGACATTGGATTTGAGACATGTAGGATGAGTAGGAGCTTGCCATTGGAGAGGGAGGGAAGAATACTTTCCAGGCAGAGAAAACAACACATGTGAAGGTCAAGGCCAAAGGTGGGAAAGAGCTTGGGAAGCATTAAGCACAGGAAGGAAACCAGTGTGGCTGGAACAGAGGGAGTGCCATGGCATGAGGTTGAAAAGGCAGGCAAGGGCCACATCGTGTTGAGGAATTTATGTTTATTTCCAAGTGCAACCTTGATCTAATTTAACTTTTATAAAGATCAGCCTGGATGCTATGGGAAAACAGGCTGTGTAGGCCAAGAGTAGAAGCTAGGAAACCAGCTAGGAAGCTTTGCTGTTGACAAGGGGATAACAGGGTTTGGACTAGGATAGAGGCAGTGGGATGGAGAAAAGGGAATAGGTACTATTCACTGATCCAGATTTCCCAACCCCCAGTCCTGGGTCTTTCCCATGCCTTTAACTCTTTCCCTTCCATCCCTGAGGATGAGAACTCCTGAACCCTCATTTAGTGACTTCTACACCCCTGGGTGATATCTGCATCTTGTCACCCTTACTGTGGAGAGGGGGAAAAATAAAGCTGCAAGAGGTTAAGTACCTGAATAAGGGTCACAGCAGAGTTCCTGAAAAACTTTGTGTGGTGGGCAGAATTCTAAGGTGGTCCCCATGACCTTCACCCCTGATCTTACTTCATGATGATGTTATGTTACGTGGCAAAAGGGATTTCTCTGGGGGCCAAGCAGCTAGTTTTGGATCAGGGAAGATCCTTAGCCTGGATCTGATTAGGCTGGTAGATGTTATTTTAAATAATAACTTTTTGGGAAGTAAACTGCTTGGCCCCCTATCCTGGGAGAAGGTGGAGGGCAAGAATATAAATTTTCTCAATTCAGCAAGATTTTCCAGCACCCCCCCAGGGCAAAGGTCTATTGTAGGCTTACCTCGATGTAGTCATAGGGGCAAGGCACCTCTGGATGGTCCTCAATGTCGAAAATGTCCTCAAACTGCAGGCTGATCATGAAACCTTCCTCTAGTCTGATCTCATAGGAGCATTCGGAGCTCTTAGGGTAAGGGTTGGGGAAGTCAGGGCTGGTGATCACACCAGTCCTCTGGGTGAAGAGGTTGCCACTGCACTCCACTGTGGGAAACATACCAGAGCAAAGTGACACACCACACCACGGCCCAGAAACTCCAGTCTTACATGTTACTCTGGTTTCCCAGTGGTCCCGAGAAGAAAGCAGGAAAGGAATCATTATCCCCATGTCACAGATGGAGAAACCAAAGTTCGGTGAGGGAAGTGATTTACCCATGCCACACACCTAGTAATTTGCAGAGTCAAAACTCAAAGACAATGAGTGTGATAAGCCTTCTAATCAGATTCTCAGGTATGGGGTAGGGGAAGCAGGGTCTAAGGTGGAAAGGTTTTGAGATTGAGTAGTTGTGGTGGAGGGGGATGTCTGGACTGCTTTTGTCCTGCTCTCCCCTCAGCCCAGAGCTCCATTAGGTCTCTGCTCAAAGCCTGCCTTGATCGCTCCACACACCCTCACCTCTGGCCCCTGGCCTTGCTTTGTTTCCCTTCATGCTGCTGACCACTACTTGCCACTATGTGATAGATTTATTTGTGCATTTTCTTGTCCCCACACGACTGTAAGTCCCCTGAGCTCAGAGATTCTGTTCTGTCCCCACTGCATTGCTGCACCAACAACCCAGTATCCTGGGATCCTGGCCGTGGCTTAGCTCTGCCAAGGTCCTTTTATTTGCCTCTGAACCTTTGGCCTTGGGCTCACCCATGCTAGGTCTAGATGTCAATCTTTTCTAAGCACCTGTTCATCCTGTTCATTTGCAAATGAGTAAACTGTGGCCCAGAAAAGGGGGCGTGACTAACTTGAAGCTCCAACCCTCTGAGCTGTAGAACAAGGTTTAATCCAGGTCACTTGAATTCCCATCTGTTTTCATTTTCTACAGTACGCATTCTCATGGTGATGATATTGACCCAAAGGGGGTTAAAATTGGTTCTTGGTGGGGGAAAGTCTTACCCGTTTTATAAATGGTACGTAGATAGGCATGCAGTACATGAACAAAATATACAGTGTATTTCTGGTATTAAAATTCCATGGGGAATTTTGTTAATATTTCAGGGGAAGATATTAAGAAGATTAGGAAGATAATGTTTTAAAAATTTCCTGGAGGCACAGGTAAACATGAAAAAAGAGATCAAGAAACCTTGCTCAATCTTAGCCTGCACTGTACTCAGTGTATAGTAGATACTCAAGAACTTACTGAAGGGAAACCATAGAAAGTCTAACTCTCTAGAAGAAAACTCCTGTCTGTGCCTGCTCTCTACTGATGGGTCATATAGGGACCTTATTCAGAAGCACGTAGAAGCTTTTGAAGGAGAAAGGAAAGGAATTCTTGTTTCCAACCTGCCCTCCTCCAATGATCCCTCTCAGTTCCAAGGGATTGTTCTAGAACACAGATGCCTCCCCTGCAGTCACACCACTCTACTGGTAATTCCCCAAACAGTCCAAATTCTACAAGGCCTTGGAAGGTTTGTGGAAGCTGTTCTCTCTGCCTGGAACGTTCCTTTTCTTATTCTTTTGGGACGTGCTGCCCACTCCTCAGGCAGACTCAGGTCTGATGGAGCTGTGGCCACGCTTTGTGTACAGCATTTACTACTTTTCATCATTTGCTAGTGTGGCTGTTTCCCAGTAGCCAGGATGGTCTTCATGGAAAGTAGCTAAACCCTTCTGCTTGTCCACCTCTGCTCAGCCCAGAGGCTACGGCGGAATAGGCATGTTGATGAGAGATGAAAACAGAGATAGCAAGGAGGAGATATTCTCCTGCTCTCTCTGTCTTTGCCTCTCTCCTCTCTCTTCTTTCCTCTGGACTAGGGCTCTCTTTATCACAGAGGAACTCAAGAGCCACGGGAGAGAAGAGAAAAAGGAACTACTGAGTGAGGCCTAGTTCATGGCTCAGAGAGAGGACCGGGAAAGCCTTTTTCCTTAACTTGGCCAGATCGAGTCCCTGCCGTAGGAGAGGAGATCGGGAGAAACGGGCAGGGACTCCTGCTGCCCAGGAGGAAAGACAGCCCGAATGGGCGGCTGGGCATTTCGATAGCACCATCCACGTGGCACCTAGAGGCCCAGCTCTGCGACTTCGCTTGCAGTTGTTCCTGCGGCATACCTGCCCTTCCTCCGAGCCTCCCTAACCTGACTGGAAAGCGTGGCACATGGTGGCAGTGAGTGGGGCGTCCCCGGGCCGCACCTCGGCAGGTCCTGTTGTCCGCGTGGAGGAGGTAGCCGAAGCGGCAGGAGCAGTAGCAGCCGCCGATGTAGTTGTGGCAGTAGTGGTCGCAGGCCAGCTCCTCGTCCTCCCGCTCCCGGCACTCGTCCACATCTGCGGGCAGGCAGAGGCTCTCGGTCAGTCAGGCGGTGCGGGATGCGGGACAAGAGCCAGCGTTGCCGCCGCACTTAGCCTGGGCTAGTCGCTATTTTGGGAGATATTTGCATTTCATCATTAATGCTCACACGAAGCCCAGAACTGGCCATTATCTCTGTTTACACGAGGAAACTGGAACTCAGAGAGGGGGGAGGCTTACCCAAGATTACAGGGAGCCAGGCTCAAACCTAAGTAAGCTGACTCCCGGTGGTGCCACTGTCCTCTAGCAATTATGACAGTAGCAAGCAGGACCGCTACTCTCCCCATTCTATAGATAATAAAAATGAGACATAGAGGCACTAATTAACTGACTCCAGGTCACACAGATAGTAAGTGGTGGAGGGAGCATTCAATCCAGGTGGCCTGTCCATAGCTTGGGCTTTTCACTTCTACTCCAAGCTGTCTCTCTCTTTCTGTGTTGCCTCTAGGGGTCAAGCCCTGTCCTAAGCATTGGAAATATAAAGATAAAAAAGTTGTATGTGTTCAATCCAATTAAAAAATTTGAATATACATTTCCCCCCAAAGGATATATAAATGGCCAACAAGCACATGAAAAGATGCTCCAAGTCACCAGTCAGCAGATGGATAGATATGTGATAGAGCAAATGCAGTAAGACATTCATGGTAGAATCTGTGTGGTGAGTATACAGCTATTCATTATAAAGAAGAGAGCACAAGGAACTTTTAATCTTTAGTGAGAAAGGGAGACCTGGGGAAGAATCACTCACTTCTCACTTACCCACAGCCATGTAGTGGGCATCGAAGCCTGTGAATCGCTCCTCATCAGAGAAATCTGACTGGAAAGTGATGGACATGAAGGAACCAGGGGAGAGGACCACTTCCTGGCCAGGGGTATGCTCAGTGTCTGTATTCTCGCTGCCACAGAAGATTGCCAGCAACTGGTCTTCAGTTTCTACCTTTGAGGTCAAAGAGAAAGGGAACAGGGTGAGAAGCTTCCCAAATTAGCTTCTCTGCTTGTCCCCAGTAGGAAAGAGGGGGGGCTGCCCATGCAGCCTGGGACACCCAAAGAGGAGGGATTAAGGATTCCGGGGTTTAAAGAAAGACACATTACAGGTTAAGTCAAAGTGGCGTGCAATCACTCTTCCAACCATTTTCTTTAGGTCCATCAGGAGTAACTTGACCTTTGTTATTCCTGTTGACAACCAAATGGCTTATTGGTTGAAAATAACTCAATGTTAAAATTCGAGGGGAGTTAGATCACCTCACAGATGGACTCTATATACAAGGGGAACTTACCACGTTTCCCAAGAAAAAAACCCTTATATACAATATAGGTCATTCATTGAGCATTCAGTGTGTGCCTGAAACTGGTCAAAGCAGGCGATGAGGATGGTGAGAGAAGAATGAGACATAGAACTGTGCATGGGGAAACAGTGTTCAGGCTGATGAAAACATACACAGAACTATTATACAGTGTGACAGGTGGTTTAATGGAAACAAGCACTGGGAATGCACTCAGAAGGAGGTGAAATGTCCCCATTAGAATGTAAGCTGCAGGGCAAGAAGACTTTGATTTCTTTACACATGTGTCTTTGGCGCATGGTATAGGACCTGGCACAGAGCAGTTATTTTTTTATCAAAAACTCAAAGTACAAGACCCATTCTGAGAACAGTAAGAAGCCAGATAATATGGGGAGACTGTAGGAGATGCACTTAGAAGGATAGGCTGAAATTAGATTATGGTTGACCTTGGATGTCATAATAAGTGACTATTCTGTGAGTAAAGGGAAGACATTGAAAACTTTTGAACACGGAAGTTATGTCATCAGAACATTATTTAATAGGTATTCTTAATAGTACTCAAACTACTGAGATCATCCAGAAATAGTTAATTTTGTGTATGTTTGTACTAAGACTCAGATGTAAAAATTGCCTATTTGCTAAAAGAATTCACTACATTGGAAGAGCCAGAGGCCTAGTGGAAATTCAGAGACACAAGCAGAGATCTTAAACTGGTTGCCTAGTGGTGATTGTGTGTTTTGATTTGGGAATCAGAGGATGGCAGCTGTTTGATATTATTTATTTGACCACAAATACTTGGCCTACCCATGACTCTATTGTTTACACCCTAACCAATTCTTTTAAGCTTGTATTTGTATTTGCAGCTTCTAGACTGATGTTTTAGTCAAGATTCGTAAGAAAATCTCTCACCAAGAATGATTTCTGCTTCCTTTGAAAGTCATTAAAGGAAAGTTCTCAAAAGCTGCTTATCTCTAGCAGATCCTAATGAATTCATTGTTTTGTTCATTAGTTTAGTATGCCAGAGTATCTTGACATTTGACACTTCTGTTTTGAAACTAATGATTTATTTATTTAAAATAAGTGGGAGTTTTAAAGAAAAACAATTTGCCCTGGCAACAAAACACAAAGACAATCACTAACTTTGGGAATTGAAGTGTAAACAGAAGATGAGATCATGGCTTTGCTATTTATTTCTTTTCTCTGTAGATACTAGCCAAACTTTACCAGACTTATTACTGTAGAACGTGCCTATCTGCACGCAGCTGAAATGTCAGTTCTTTGAACATCACAGCTGGTCTGTTATTTTCATTATCTGAGTTTTCCAGATAGCTGAAGTTCTACTTAACTATAATTAAAAAATTTTTTTTTGGTGTAATGCTTCTTAAAGTGCTTTATACAAATCCCTGCTTTCTTAGGTGAAACATGCTAACCCTTCCTTGGAGACCCAGGGACTGCTATGGACATCGACCATATTGGGGATATTGCATTGTATAATGATGCTTGCTCTACATTGATTATCCCCAGACTATAATGCTTTTGCAATTCTTAAGTCTCCTTTTTTTTTTTTAAATTGTTGAAAATATTAGAGATGTCCCCTTTTTCCCCCACTGACCCCTTCCACCCTGTACCCACTCTCTATCCCAGGCCTTCAGCACACTATTGTCTGTCTGTGTCTATAGGTTATGTATATATGCATATAAATTCTTTGGTTAATCTCTCCCCACCCACCCCCACCTTCCCTCTGAGATTTGTCAGTCTGTTCCATGCTTCTATATCAC